TCTCACTTTGTTGCCCAGACTAGAGTGCCGTGGCATCAGCCTAGCTCACATCAACATCAAACTCCTGGCCTCAAGCAATCCTTCTGCCTCAGCCTCCCAAGAAGCTGGGACTATGGGCATGTGCCACCATGCCCGGCTAATCTTTTCTATATATTTTTAGCTGTCCAAGTAATTTCTTTCTATTTTTAGTAGAGACGGGGTCTTGCTCTTGCTCAGGCTGGTCTCAAACTCCTGAGCTCAAACAATCCTCCCGCCTCAGCCTCCCAGAGTGCTAGGATTACAGGCATGAGCCACTATGCCCAGCTTAGAGTGATCTATTTAAAACATCAATTAGATTAAGGTCAGGAGTTTGAGACCAGCCTGAACAAGAGCAAGACCTCATCTTTACAAAAAATGGAAAAAGTAGCCGGGTGTGATGGCGTGAACCTGTAGTCCTAGCTACTGGGGAGGCTGAGGCAGGAACATCTCTTGAGCTCAGGAGTTTGAGGTTGCTGTGAGCTATGATGGTGTCACTGCACTCTAGCTGGGACAGCAGAGTGAGACTATGTATATATGTATGTATATATAAATAAATGGAGTCAATTAGATGGTATCACTCGCCGCTTGCAGTTTCCCATGGCTCGTGACTGCATGAAGAATAAAGCCCCTGCCTGCAGCATACCCAGCCTCCTGCTGGTCACTCCAGCTTTACCTTGTCCCTCTCACAACATCTCTCAACAGCTTCCAGCCATAGTGACCTTCTCACTAGCAAGAACATCTGTCATGCTTATTGGCCCTTGAGGGCATTTGTGCCTGGAATTCTCTGCCCTTGGCTTTTTGAATAACTCAGTGTAAATGCTAACTCCTTAGAGAGCCCTCCCTGATTACCCTCTTTAAAGCAGATTTTCCTACCAATTCCCCTAATTCTCCCTTAGCCAGTTGCTTGTTTCTTTCATGATTTGTATAATGAAAAAAAAAAAAAAAACTCTTTAGTTTAAAAAAAAACAAAACACCGCCTTTTGGAAGCCTTCCAGGAGTTAGCCTCCATTCCATTTTCATCATGTTGGTCAATTTAGCAGCTTGAATGGGTGGAATGAAACTTTCCACTTGGGTAATCAGCATCTTCATGTCTTACAATCTATTACATAATTCTTACAATCGTGAATGCTTCGTTCCTTCTTGAGTGGAACTTGATCCAGCAAACTCTGTGTGCCTGAGCAGGGCAGTTCGAGTAGCACAACAGGCTGTGGAATTGGGTGGCCCTAGGTTCAAATCAGTCCCTCTGCCAACCCTGCTGACACATTGATTTTTGACCCAGTGATATTGATTTGGGACTTCTTGTTTCCACAGCTATGAAGGAATACATTTTTTGTTGTTATATATATAAAAAAAAATCCCCCTGCCAGTTCCAAGCTGTATGACCTTGGTCATGCATTCCAGCTACCCATTGCTACATGACAAATGCCCTCAGAACTTAGTGGCTTAAAGCAACAATATTTATTATGCAGTTTGGCCAGGGTTGGTGAGACAGCTCATTTCTGCTCTGCTTGCCAGCTGGGATGGCTCCGAGGCTGGGGGCTGAATCATCGGAAGGCCCACCATCTCACAGGTGGGTGGTCAGTGGGGACCAGAGCTGGGGGTGTTGACTGGAACACCTTCACGTGGCCTCTCCATGAGGCCTGGGATTCCAACATGGTGGCTGGATTCCAAAGGTGAGTGGCCAGAGGAAAAGATACAGAGAATGGAGCTGGGCAGAAGCCACATTGCCCTTTACGACCTGACCTTGGAAGTTTCAGAGTACCACTTCCACCATATTCTGTTGGTTGAAGCAGTCACAAAGATCTGCGGAGGTTCAAGGGCAGGGAACACAGACCCTGATGCTCAGCTGGAGGAGTGTCAACCTTACATTGTAAGAAGAGCAACTAGGATGAGATATACACAGGTGTGCCTGTCTCTGGAAGTCAGCCACAAGTATCTTAACCGTTTTGAGATCCTGTACTGAAGTGTGCACAGAGCTTGGCATATCGTGAGTGCCTATGGGTCAGACAGCTGCAGGGGCTGCTGTGTCCATGGGTCAGATAGCTGCAGGGGTTGCTGTGCCTATGGGTCAGACAGCTGCAGGGGTTGCTGTGCCTATGGGTCAGACAGCTGCAGGGGTTGCTGTGTCCATGGGTCAGACAGCTGCAGGGGCTGCTGTGTCCATGGGCCATATAGCTGCAGGGGTTGCTGTGCCCATGGGTCAGATAGCTGCAGGGGTTGCTGTGTCCATGGATCAGATAGCTGCAGGGGCTGCTGTGCCCATGGGTCAGACAGCTGCAGGGGTTGCTGTGCCCATGGGTCAGATAGCTGCAGGGGTTGCTGTGCCCATGGATCAGATAGCTGCAGGGGCTGCTGTGCCCATGGGTCAGATAGCTGCAGGGGTTGCTGTGTCCATGGATCAGATAGCTGCAGGGGTTGCTGTGTCCATGGGTCAGACAGCTGCAGGGGTTGCTGTGCCCATTGGCCATATAGCTGCAGGGGTTGCTGTGCCCATGGATCAGATAGCTGCAGGGGTTGCTGTGCCTATGGGTCAGATAGCTGCAGGGGTTGCTGTGCCCATGGAAGGGGTTGCTGTGTCCATGGATCAGATAGCTGCAGGGGTTGCTGTGCCCATGGATCAGATAGCTGCAGGGGTTGCTGTGCCTATGGGTCAGATAGCTGCAGGGGTTGCTGTGCCCATGGATCAGATAGCTGCAGGGGTTGCTGTGTCCATGGGTCAGACAGCTGCAGGGGTTGCTGTGCCCATGGGCCATATAGCTGCAGGGGTTGCTGTGTCCATGGGTCAGACAGCTGCAGGGGTTGCTGTGCCCATGGGCCATATAGCTGCAGGGGTTGCTGTGCCCATGGGTCAGACAGCCACAGGGTTGCTGTGCTCATGGATCAGATAGCTGCAGGAGTTGCTGGTGGCTTGGGACAGTCTCCCTGTCTCCTTGTAGCCAGTTCTGAACTCCCAACAAGCCTCGTCCCCTCTTCATGCATCCCTGGTCTGAACTGACCCTGAGTCCAGGGCCCCTACCTCAATCCCACACAGATTCTCCCAACCAAGCCCTTGTTGCTGTCGTGGCTCCCCTGCAGCTGTGGTACAGGTTCTTGGCTCCCCAAATCCAAAGGCCCACGGAGTGGGAAAGACCCTCAGGCCCCTGCTCAGCCCTGAGTGTTGGGGCCATAGGAGGCGAGGTGAGGCAGAGCCAGCACTCAAGAGTCCTGCCCCAGTGGGGAGATGCAGATGCCGTGTGCCCCATGGGCAGGAACCAGGAAGCCCACCACTTTGTCCCTCAGTGTCTTGCAAACAGCATGTGGACAGGTGGGGGGGGGGAGGCGGTGTGGGGAGCTGGCATTTTGCCATGAGTGGGTGGGAATACCCCTGAAGAAGTGTTTGTCAAGAACCTGCTGAGTGGCCCTGCTCCTAACCTGGCTCTAAGGGAGGTTGCCCGGAGGATCTGAGAGCAGAGGTGCACTCACACACCTGCATCCAGGTGCAGGCGGCCTCAGGTGAGAGGGGCCATCCCAGGAGTGTATTCATTGCGTGTGGGTAGGGTAAGGTGGGTAGGGTAACCTGGTGCCAGTTGTGTGTCTAGAGCAGGCGAAGAGGTGAAAGAAGAAGATTGAGGGAGGAGGAGGAAGGAGAAAATGGGCAGGACGAAGAAAAGAGGGAAGAGGAGGAAAAGGAAGACATGGAAAAGGAGGGAGAAAGGTGGGAGAAGGAAGGAGAAAAGAGGAGGGAGAGGAAGTAGGGAGACTGCCCTCCTGGTGGCAAGCGGGGAGGCGACCCTGAGGGTGAGCACCGCCCCGCGGGGCAGCCAAAGGACTTAACCCCGCTCTGCCCGGTGGTGGCTCAGGGACTGGGAGCGGCAGCGAGGTGCAGGGGAGGGGAGGTGGGGGGCGGGGAAGGTGTAGTGTGATAGACGAGGGGAAAATCAGAAAAACGGCCCAGAACAGCCCTAACAGTGGAGATGGCTCAGAAGGAAAGACACCACGCCCATCAGAGCCCCATGCCGGGGCTCCGGGGTCGTCCGGAGCTGCTCTTGGGGGGAACGTGTGTGGGTTAGGGCACCGTCCCCAGCCCATGCCAGCCCCCGCCGGGCCAAAATCTGCTCCCAAGGCATCGCTGGTCTGGTGCCTCCTAACCGATCGCCTCCATTTTAAACAGACAGAGCCTGAAGCCGGCGTGGGGTGGGGCGGGTATGGGGAAATCACAGCCGGCCAGGCTGTGCAGAGCCCGGCAAGCACCCAGGGCTCCACGGTCCCTGCGCCCGTGGGAGGGACGCTGAGGCACAAAGAGCCCGAGCACGCCCTGGAGGTGTGAGGTTGGGGCTCCCTCCGGCTCTGCCATTGACCACGAGCAAACCGCGTGTCCCCAGGCTTCGGTTTACTCTTCGGTGCGGTGGGATCATTGGTCCCTCGGCAAGGTTGAGGGGCGGAGCTCGCGCACGCTCCGCGCGGGGCGAGGGGCGCGGCGCTCGGGTGTGCATGCATGCCGGCTCCCGCGTCCCGAGGTCCGCCCGGCCTCCGCCCGGGGGTCCCCCGTCGCGCCGCCCACGCGGCCCCAGTCGGGACGCCGGGCGCCCGGGCACGTCGGCCGGGTGCGCTCCCCCGGCTCGCAGAGGAGGGGACGGCGGCGGAGCGCAGGAGGAGGGAGCCGGGGCCGCGGCTGCCCGGGCCCGCCTGACCCTCGAGGGGGTCGCTGTTGCCTCGCAGATCCCTCCGTCGCTCGCAGCCTGCGTCCCTCCCTGCCGCTCCCGCCGCGTCCGCCTTTTGTTCGCGGAACCGCGCGCCCCCGAGCCGAGGCGGCGGGGCGGGGAGCTGGCGGGCTGCGCGGGGGGCGGGCCGCGCGGCGGAGCCGGGCCGGCGCGCAGCCGGACTGGGGGCCCGAGCCAGCGATCGGCGTGCGGGCGGCGGAGGCCCGGGCGTGCTCCGGGGGCGCGGCGAGGCCGAGGGGGCGGGCGCCGGGCGGAGCCGGAGCCGGAGCCGGGGCGCCTGGAGGCGGTCAGGCCGCTCTCTGCGAGCTCAGAGCTGCGGAGAGACCGTGCGGCGCGGGTCGGGGCCGGAGCGCGGTCTCGCGGCTGAGGTGGGCCGAGAGGAGGCGCAGCCCGAGCGGCCAGAGCCTCGTCAGGACCCTCCCCAGGGACGTCGAGGCCGGGCGGGCCCGGGCCATGCGCGTCGCGCGCTGAGGCCGAGGGAGGCCTCGATGGAGGCGCCGGCGGGCGAGCCCTCGGCCCGGGGCTGCGGGCCCCCGCCCGCGCCCGCCCCGGAGAGGAAAAAGAGCCACCGCGCGCCGTCGCCAGCCCGGCCCAAAGACGTGGCTAGCTGGCCACTGACTAAGGGCCGCCGCGGCCCAGGCCCGGGCGCAGCCGCCGCCTGCAGCGCCTCGTCCAGCGCCCGGCCCGACAGGAAGGGACGCGCCGTGGCGCCCGGGGCGCGGGGCGCAGGGGCGCGGGTGGCCGGGGTCCGCACCGGGGTCCGAGCTAAGGGCCGCCCGCGCCCTGGTGCCGGGCCGCGACCGCCACCACCGCCGCCCAGCCTCACCGACAGCAGCTCGGAGGTGTCGGACTGCGCGTCGGAGGAGGCGCGCCTGCTGGGCCTGGAGCTGGCGCTGAGCAGCGACGCCGAGTCGGCGGCCGGGGGCCCGGCGGGGGCCCGCACCGGGCAGCCGCCCCAGCCCGCGCCGTCCGCGCAGCAGCCTCCGCGGCCGCCCGCCTCCCCCGATGAGCCGTCGGTGGCCGCGTCGTCGGTGGGCAGCAGCCGCCTGCCGCTCAGCGCCTCCCTCGCCTTCTCCGACCTCACCGAGGAGATGCTGGACTGCGGGCCCGGCGGCTTCGTGCGGGAGCTGGAGGAGCTGCGCTCCGAGAACGACTATCTCAAGGTGGGGCGCTGATGGGGGCCAGGGAGGTCGCGGGAGGCACCGGCTGTCACAGCCCATCGGGCCTGAGGCACCAGCCAGCCTGCTTTTCCATTAAACAAGCTGGAGAAAGGGGCCCAAACCCTCCGGGACCACCCTAAGGTCGATCTCGGGCTGCCCCCATCCCCCAACTTTATTTGGGAAGTGCTGTCTTGAAGAGGAACCTGGATGAGGAGACTGGCCAAAGGGGCCTGATCTGGAGAGGGGGCTCAAGACTGCTTTGGAGGTGCTGAGATGCACTGCTTGGTGTCGGGGTGGGGGGTCAGTGAGGGGCCGGATCCCTGTGTTCAGCTGCTCAGGACCCCCGCCCCCAGGCTCTCCTTTCTGGGGCAGGCATTGGTGTGCACTGCTGCCAGGGAAACCTGCGGCTAGACCAGAACACACCATCCTGAGCCCATCCTGAGCCGCAGGCCTGTCCTCGCCTGCCTTTCAGGGCGGGTCCAGTTTGAAAGCATGACATCTGGGAACATCCCCTTGGCTGGAGTCCACTTCCGCCCAGTCTAACGGTCCCACAGCCTGGAGGGTGATGTCGTGGGAGAACCGGTTCAGAGGCAGCTTCCTAAATCCCAAGATACTGTCTTCTGCCCTCTCTGGGGCAGGCCTTGTATACACAGTGGTCCTGTTGGCCCCTCCCGGCCGGTGCCCATGTCCTTCCCGTGTTCCTGGTGGGAAGAGAGAGGCCCTGCCTGGGAGGGGCATCCCTCTGGGCTTGTCGGGACTGGGGGGAGCAGGCTTTGCCTTCACCCTTTCAGTGGACAGGAGCACCCATGGGGTGCAGGCCAGTCTCTATCGGTCCACTGCCCGGCACCGTGGCAGCTTTAGGGACAGCCCACCCCTTGTGTGTTGACCTCGGCCCTGGAGGCTGGAAGCTTCATGGGCTCTCCTGCCACTGGCTGGACACGGTTTTGAAAGAGGCTGAAATGTTGCCTGCTCTTGTCAGTTGACGGCCTGGCACAACACCCACAGCGCCCCTGGCCGAGAGCCTCGGAGTTAATGGCACTCTGCTGATTTATGTCCGCCCATAGCACTTAACTTTTAACTTTTCATTTTGGCTCTTCTGGCCAAATGGGTTTCTCTCTCATTAAAATGTTAAGGTCTTGCTCTACTCTGTCTCTCTCCCCCATTTTCCCCCAGGATCTGCTATCCAGCGTGTGTTCAGTACATGCCTGTAGCATAAAAGGGCAAGATCTGTCTGAATCAGAATAATCTACCCCTTTAGTCTCTAATCTTTCCCCAAGCCAGGCCTCAGTCTCCTCATCTGTTAAATGGGAGGGTGAGTCTTCCCAAAGGTGCCGTTCAGTTTTGACATTTGGGAGTTCAATCATCTCTTACAGAGGAGAGGGCTAGTGGAGAGTGAGTAGGAGGAGGGAGAAGGCAAGTCCAGAGGAGGCTCTTTTGCTCTTGCCCCCTTGATGCTCTGAGCTGCTTCCAGTCCTCGCTGCCTGAGCTGACCCCGAGTTCCTCACTCCAACCTCCTGGTCCCTACTGCTCACCCTGGCAAGGGCAGATGGGTCACAGAGATTTGCTTCGGGGTCTCTCATGCACCCACCCCTGTGGGCGTGGACCCCTGTCCATCCTAGGAGGTCATCAGGCTCTGCCCTGACGTCTGTTTGAGCCACTGATGACTGTTTGGATTGGAAAATGGTCTCAGGAGGCTGGGGGTTGAGCCCATGGTTTCACAGGATGCAGGGCCCAGCTGGGGACATCCCACTGCCTGGGCAGGGCTGGGCCTTTGGTTTCCGCCATTCGTTCAGTGGTTCAGTCTTTACGAGCTGCTACTGGATCTGAGGTCTGTAGCTTCCCAACTGTGTGATCCTGGGCAAGTTCCTTATCTCTGGGACCTCAGTTCTCTTATTTGTAGAAATGGGACAATAGCATACTTTCCGACCTCAAGGTTGAAGGGAAATAATGCCTGCCAACGCTGCTGGAGCACTGGTACGTAGTAAAGCTCAGATGAAGTAGCTGTGATCACTGCCCTTCTCAGTGGAGTGGTGCACGCTTCCGTGTGTGCCTGCGTTCTCTTGTGGATTGTGTGGGTGCAGGAGAGATCCCCCTCCACACCCGAAGCAGACTGGGCTCTTTCTCCTGGCTCCTCATTCATTCATTTACCAACTATTTATTTAGAGCCTGCTGTATACTAGTGCACGTCTGGGATACAACCCAAGACAAGGGTGAAGTGTCTGTTTTCATGGATCTTTGGGGAGACCAGGATTAAACAGTAGTCACACAGTAAATCACAGTACGGATCATGACGAGGGTAGAGAAGGGATGGGGTGCCAAGAGCACATGAGGTGGGGGCTAGGTGCTCGGGGAGGCCGAGAGCTGCAGGATGACTCGAGCCAGCTGAACAAGGAGGTGGGGTAAGAACATTCCAGGCTAGGGGAACTCAGAAAAAGCTTGTTGGATTCAAGAACAGCGCCGAGGCCAGAGAGAGGGTAGGAGGTTGGATGAGAGAGGTGAACAAGACCAGCCCATGCTAATGCTCACTGTGGACATTTGAATCAGTCCCTTGACATCTCGGGAGGTTTGTTTACCCTGGCTGCCAACCTCGCAAAGGCAGCGTGAAAATCTGGAGACTGAATGTGGACCACAAACTCGGGTTATTATAGGAGGTCTGTTCATTCCACGGATGGGTAAACTGGCCAGAGTTGGGGAGAGACTTGTTCCAGGGCTAGGCAGCCAGGGCTTGGAGTAAGAGTGTGTTGAACTCTTGGTATGTTTCCTGCCCCCCTGGGCCATGCTGCTTCTAAGATGCAGAAACCGAGTAACAAGGGATAGGACTCCATATCCCTGGCATGTCCCCTGCAGGGGCTGCTTGGGTTGAGGGGAGTCCAGTGGGTGGCCCTGCTCAGGCTCACCCCTGGCCAGTTAGGGGGCACTGGGAACTGTCAACAAGGGAAGGGTGCTGTGCAGATCTCCCATGTCATGCAGCCTGCTCTGGGGCCCAAGTGACAAAAGCATAAATTGAGTGACTCCCAGTAAGAAGATAGAAGGAGCTTCTGCAGAGAAGGTAGTGAGCTCGCCGTCACTTGGATTATTCAAAGAGAGGCCTCACGACCCCACATACTTGGATAAAGACCTAGGGTTTGTGGAAAGCAGCTTGTAAACCATCCAAAATGTTGGTGGTTGTGATTATTTGGAGAGAGTTCAGGGGAGGTTTATGTGGTGGCTACAACTGAGCTGCCTAACCTTGGGCCCCGTCTAGCCAAGGAAATCAGAAGGTTATTAACTGCTGAGGTTCCAGAATTCTTAGATGCAGCTTTAGCTGCAGAGCAGACACATCAGCTGTGTTTAACCTTCAAAGCTCGGGTGGTCTATGATATTCCAGCTCCTAATCACCACTAACTGTTACCCATGTATGTACCATGTGGTGAGGACATGTGGGAATCCACTGGGTGTGGATGGAAGAATCTAAGAGTTGGAGCCCAAAGACCTGGCTTTGAGACCTGGCTCTCCCATCTACTGTGTGGCCATGGGTGAGTCTCTTGGCCTTTCTGAGCTGCTTTTTCTCATCTGTATAATGAAGATGATGGAACCTGCCTGGACAATCTCATAGGATTGTTTTCAGAAATCAGGGAGTTATGAATAAACAAAACATTTTGCAAGCAGTCAAATTCAGCATCTCATGAGGAATTGTTAATATTCTCAATGAGCGGACAGGATATCTGTGTCTTCATTCTTAGAGGAACTGGGAGAATCCAAATGGGTGGATTTCCTTAGTTTTAGAATATTGACAAATCAGTAGCTGTTCCAGGGAGGACAGCAAGGTGTGATCATGTTCCCTGCTGAGAGTACTGGTTCTGGAAGCCAGACCGCTCTACCTACTTGGAGATTCTAGATGTCAGCTTGGAAGGGCCCAGGGGAAGCACCTAATCCCCACCCCTCAGTTAACCATTTTACAGATGGGGAAATGAAGGCTCCAAGTCACACAGCCCAGGTTGGTCTAACTCTGGGCCCTGTTCTCTCTGCGGGGCGGTCGCAGTGGTGTGTCTAGTCTGGGACTGGGGTGGTGAGAGGAATCCTGTCATGGGCCACGCTCTAGGCTAAGACTTGTTGGGGGCAAGTGGTGAATAAGACATGCTGGGGCCCTGAGCCTGGGGCCGGGCGGGGGATGGGGGGCACGTGTAGGCGCCTACCCTGGGGCGTGGGGGTGGCTTTCAAGCCTGAGAATGCAGATGGAGCGCATTGTAAATGTTAGTGCTTGTCCCCATCAGCACCTTTTCCTTACCTGTTCCTTCAGGCATTCATTCAATCATTGGCTCATCTATCCGACACTATTTTCTAGTGCCTCCTGGGTACTAGGCCCTGTGCTGGGTGTCTGGACCCAGGGGCCATGCAGTAGGCCCCTGGATGTGCTCCCGGCAGCTCTAGGGAGGGTTCCAGCCTGTGTCTGGGTCGTCGTGGTCAGCAGAGCTCCTGGCAGCTCCCTGCTCTGGGTCCCAGTCTCCCTGTGGCAGCTGAGAGGCGGCCTGGAAGGGGCTGCTCAGAGCCCTGGGTTTTTAAGAATGCGCTGACTGCCTGTTGGCGGGAGGGGGCAGCTCCTGCGACGTGGAAGATGAGATGGAAAATGTGAGCCTGCGGCTGCCGAGGCCCCGGGAACCGTCGGCGTTCCCAGGGCTGCCAGCATTCCTTGTGAGGGGCCGGGCCGTGTTCCTGGGCACACTCGCTCACACACACAAACGCACACGCACACATCCGGAGCTCCAGCTCGGAGACCCACCACCGCCTACACCCATCTCCCACTGCTGTCCGGTGACACCCTGCTGTTGTGTACTTCCAGAAGCACGGCCCCCGCCGACGTGCTAGAGAGAGACAGACTCAGAGAAGAGCACAGACGCGGAGCCATGCATTTACACGGCCTCCCGTCCCGTCACTCACATGTTACCACACAGACACAACAGAGACTCACACCATTTAGGGGACCCCCAGGCTCAGAAACACACTCTCACACACGTATCTTTTAC